AGTGATGGAAGGAGACTTGACTTTGGGTGGTGAATACACAATACAATCTATATCTATATATATAAAACCCTAATATGCAAATAGACTGAACAGAGGAACAACCAAACAACTGGTTGCTATGATGTGTACTGACCACCAGGGACACATGCGGAACATGGTGGGCGTTGACCACAGCAGGATGGTGGAGCAGGTGAGGGGGGGGGGGGGGGGCACCAGACCAAGGCAGGGTGCTGGTCACTGTTATCGGGGCAAGCTGCTGTTTGTAACTGAAAGTTCTCCCACACGCCGAGGTCCTGCCCAGCGCTCACACCTGCTGCCAGCACTGCTCCCTGATTGCTCAGGGCCACCTGTGGGTGCAAGTGGTGGCTGCTGGCCCCATCGCCTCTCAGGGCTTCTTCGCCTCCCCCTGCTCCTGAGGGGCGATTTGGGCAACAGCCACTGCTTGCACCTGCTGCCAACAACATCCCTGCTCCACTTGCTAATGGAGTCCACCCCAATCACACCTGCTGCCAGCAGACGGGACTGGGGGCCATAGGGAGGGGGGTGCAGAGGATGGGCCAAGACCCACCCCTGTGCCCACTGCAGCCTTGTGGCCCACAGTTTCTTTAAAGGTACACAAATTCATGCACTGGGCGCCTAGTATACACATAATGTATTATAGAACTGCACACCTGAAACCTACATAATTTTATTTACCAATGTTACCCCAATAAATCCAATAAAATTTTTAAGAAATTAAGCAATAGTAAGTGTGGGAAAGAGAACATATTTAAAGAAATAAAATAAAATAGGGATATTATCCAAGTGGGACTAATCTAATATCAGCACTTTAAATCTAGAGGTCAGAGAAGTCAGAGAAATTCAAAGTCCAAGGGATACGATGCACAAGAAAGTCTCTACTGCTGATTGGGGCCACTCTGCCAGAAATGTGTGTGGCCCGGAAAAGGTTAGTCAGACAAGGAGGAAATGAGGACACCAGTCGTACAACCACAAGGAAATAAATCCAGCCATCAACCTACATGAGCTTAGAAGTGGGTTTTTCCAGAGAGCCTTGAACTGCCTGGTTGGCATTTGATTTCAGGTCTGGAAGACGCTGAGCAGAAGACATTATGTTGGCCTGCTGATCTATAAAACTGTGAGCTTGATAAGTGGTTGCTGTTGTAAGCCACGTGGTTTATGGTAATTGGTTACGTGGCAATAGGAGCTAATACAAACGTGAAACCTAATGGTAGGTTTCACAGATTTAAGCAATATTCTGGTCTTCATGATGATTCTGTAAATAATTTAGATGTGAATGCTAAAAAGTAATATAAACTTTTAAATAATAGTTTTTTTGGTTTCAATTATTAAAAAGGAAAAATATTTAAGTCTGACATAATCATATTTCATATTCAGGAAGGTAATGTCTATGTAAATAGTGAAACTTTATTTGACAAGCAAGGTATACAAGTTATCTCTACATAAATCCATAATCACATTTATTCACAATAAATCAATATATTTATTATAAAAATACTCTGGAAAATTTTTTATGTGTAAGTACATATACAGAACGTATAAGTACAAAGATAGTGATATCTATCCTAGTTATCTTGTGCCCAAAGAAATAGCTCCGTGTATTAAGTTTAGAGCATAAAGTATAATTAATTTTCAGTTAAATAATAAAATAAAGTTTCTAAAATAAAACCAGAGAAAAATAGCATCATTTGTGATTTAAAAAAAAAATAGAGGCAAAGAATAGAAAATAAAAAGAAGAAAATTATATCTTATAGTAAATAATGTAATTATATAAGAGAACAGAAAAAGTTAATTTCTCAATGAAACAGACGCTCAGGGAAGAATGAGAATGACTAAATTATCAAAACAGAAATTAGAAGGTGGTTTATTTAATAACATAGGCTGACTCTTAATGAAAATCTCCTGCAATACCTAGAATACACTGGTAAAATGAAAATGATGAGTAAATTATTTCTCAAGTGTGATATATCTAGGAAATAGCTCAGTGAGAAAACAGCACACAAACAGAAAAATTCACATACAGAAGCAAAAGGAAAAACTGTTTACACTGGATTCACATTAAAAATCAAACATCACTCTTTCACATTCTGACAATCCCCACCTCCCCAACTTCAGAAAGAAAACAAGCCATGGCTTTAATGCAATATTTCTTTCCAACCTAAAACAGCTGCAAAAAAATAAATCTTGTTGGAGATAAGCCTGTTATAAATATCAACACTCCCTTTAAATAAGGGAGTCCAGTTCTCATGCCATCTGCCTCCTTTTAAAAGGGAAAACATATGAAAATCATAAACCAGAACATGTTTGAAAGAAGGCATTTAAAAATGAGTGCAGTAAAAAGGCTACGGATGACTCTGAGGCCCCGTCTTTAAAACTGTCCTGTTTACCTCCAATCAGAAAATGGGTTTCATGAAAGTAAACAACTCTTACTCCATGAAAAACCTGCCTGAAGTAATGAACAAAGACTATAAAGTCCTGTTCTGTGCCATACACACCACTGTTGATGTTTTAGCTACAATTTTCTTATATCTACTTTTTCTAAAACTTTATTACAGCCTATTCAAATAGGTTCATGTCACTGTGCTTAAGTACAAAAAAAGTGTTACTAACAGAACTGGACTCTCCCATTAATACAGATTCTATCCTCTGCAAAAATCATGCCTCACTCGACAAAGTGGGTTCTAATACTCGAGTGTGGATTTTATCTTAAAACCTTCTTTCTTCTTTTGCCCTTAATTATTTTCCATTCTTTGTTAACGACCTTGTGATGGAACATTTTAATTTTTTCCCTCCCACATCACTACTTCAATAATTAAGTCCAAAACCATATTCATTATTTAACTCCTAAAAGTATTCACACACACACACACACACACACACACACACACACACACACACAGGATTAATACGAGATGGGTTATCCAAGAAGAGGTGTTCCGACTAGTATGCTAGATATGCCTACATAAAGGAATAGCCAGTATGGAAACATTTGGACAGCTTAGAGAAAGTAGAAGAAGCATAAGGTAGAGAAAAATAACATCCTCTATCTTTAAAATAGATGAAACTGTTCAGTCCGCGTTCTCAATTCCAGGGCAGGGCTCTGAGAAGCTCCTGAGACAAAGGCCCATAGGGAGCCCGGGCATATTTCCTCCTCCTCCTCCCCCTGCCGCCCTCCTCACGCCCACGCAGACACACCTCTATATCACACACTAACCAACACAACAAAATAATCAAATCTCTTAATCACGAGCACTTGCAGTCATTTTAAAGTGCTAAGACTGCACTTAAGTGTGTCCTTCATAGGAAAAATATGTCCTCAGACATTTTTTTAAATTCAATTTCATTCTGTTTTAACTATGAACCACCTAGGCCTGTAATTATATATATGTTATTTTACAAAAGATAAATGACATTTCATTGCTTTCTTGGAATGCTGAACTTCATGGTATGAGGGAGGAAAGAAGGAGATTTCTTCAGTGTAATGATCAATAATATTTAATCTCAAGTTAATTATTTAAAATAGCCATTTTACAATAATCAATATTTCATATATTTTGTAATTTGATGTAGGCACTGCAAATGACTGAACAGTTAAGATTATTGTTGTTGCAATAGAAAAACTATTTTACCATAGACCTATCAACTATTAGTTTGAAAGTAAAAGGCTTTTTTTCGTATCACATTAAGTCTACTGTTTATTTTCCAACTTCCCTCCACTAGAATGTAGTAACACAAGAGTGGGGCTCTTTGTTTTATTCACTGAAGAATCCAAGCAATATGGCATAGAGTAGATACTCAACTTTAAGAAAATATTCTCCATAAGACAGTTATGTTAACTTTAACATCCATGTTACACTTAATTATTATCTTATATAATAAAAGAGTAATGTGCAAATTGATCCTAACAGTGGAACGACCATTCGCTATGACTCACACTGACCACCAGGGGGCAGATGCTCAATGCAGGAGCTCCCCCCTGGTGGTCAGTGCACTTCCACAAGGGGAGTGCCACTCAGCCAGAAGCCAAATTATGGCTGGCCAGCACAGCAACAGTGGTGGGAGCCTCTCCTGCCTCCGAGGCAGCACTAAGGATGTCCGACTAACAGCTTAGGCCCGCTCCCTAAAAGCCATTAGTCAGACATCCCCCCAGGGCTCCTAGGCTGCCAGGGGGATGGCTGACTGCCAGCTTTGGCCCGATCCCCCGGGGAGTGGGCCTAAGCCATCAGTTGGACATCCCCCAACGGGTCTCGGACTGCAAGAGGACGCAGGCTGGGCTGAGAGACCCCTCAGAAGTCATGAATTTTCGTGCACCGGGCCTCTAGTAAAAACTAAAAACAATATGAGTTATAATATATTACCACAAACTTGCTTTTATGAGAATATGGGCGTAATTAACTCTTTTCCTCTCTGGTCTTATCATTTTTTTTTTTTTAATTAAATGTATTGGGGTAGCACTGGTTAATAAGATTATATAGGTTTCTATAATACATTTCTGATAACAATATGCATACTGCACTGTGTGCACACCACCCAAAGTCCAATCATCCTCTGTTATATATTCGACCCCCTTCACCCTTTACTACACCCACTTCCCTTCCCCTTGGCAACCACCATACCGTCCGTGTCCGTGAGCTTTTGTTTGTGTTTCTTGTTTACTCATTTTCAGGTTTCTATCCACAGGAGTGAAATTTGATGGTTCTGACATTTTTGTTCTGATTTATTTTGCTTAGCATGCTATTCTCAAGATCCATCTATGCTGTCACAAATGGCAGTATTTCATCTCTTCTTATGGCCAAAGACCACAAAATAATACAAGTAAAATCATTTTTACGTTGTTATACTGCTTTTCATAAGAAAATAACAACATTCTGAACCTGGGTTCACTGCCAGAGGCAAATAAACCAAAACAAGAAAAACGAAGTCAAATAAAACAAACCCCAAGTCCAAAGGCCTTTTGCCAAACGTAGAGCAAACGAACACACCTTGCGTCGTGCTGCGGACACTGCCAGGTCTGGGCTGCGGACACTGCCAGGTCTGGGCTGTGGGAGCTGCCAGGGGAAGGTGTGTCCAGAGGCAGGATCTCTACGGAGGAAGCTGCACTCCCATTCCTCACAAGTTCACTCCCAGATCCAATAACACTACTCTTAGCTGCCTTCTCCTACTGGAATCAAAATACAACAGGAGCATTAAACAGATCATCTGCAGTTCCCCAACTGTCCACAAAATAAAGTCACTGGGTAGCATTTTCCAAAAGCTCCTTTAAGGTGTGCTAATTCTGATCCATGGTCAATTGAATTGAGTTACTATGGCCAAATATACTTAGAAATGCTGTGTAATATGCCCCTTTTTTCACAAGATACACTTTCATAAAAAGGCTTTGAGAAGTGCAAGAAGAGAAAACCCTAAATGGGGTTGGTTGCTCATGCTAAGCCCCACATCACCAAACCAAGACAAATACCATTTCAGCTCTCCTGGAAATGGAAACTTAAACCACCCTTATCAGGAATCACCTGATCAGCTCTAACTAGTTAATCTGCCTCATAGACCCTGCCATCTCCTAGGCAGTGGTTCTTAACCTTCCCAATGCCTCGACCCTGTGAAAGGGGTCACGACCCACAGGTTGAAAAGCGCTAGCAGGATCGCCTATGTCCATTGGAAAACACAGATATTTACATTATGATTCATTAATGGCAAAATCACAGTTATGAAGAAACAACGAAAATAGTTTTATGGTTGGGGGTCACCACAACATGAGGAGCTGTATTAAAGGGTCACAGCATTAGGAAGGTTGAGAACCACTGTCCTAGAGGAAAGTAACTTGCAATAACCAATCCATGTTTTGGCCTGGATAAATTCCTTGTTCCCACTCCCTTCTACTTAGAAGCTTCTCATTTGTACAGCCCCTCAGAGCAGCTAGACTGACTGCTGCCCAAGTCAAACCAATTTTTGCTCAAATAAATTCTCAAAGTTTTCAATATTTATCAGTTTATCTTTTAACGAACTAAACAGTTTGAATAAAATTACGTGTTAAAGAAACAATATTTAATGACATGTTTACTGATGCCCACTTTTATTGATAAAGCTGGATAAAGGAACTTGGAGCAAAGAAAAAATTATTTTTAGCCTTATATTTTAAAACAGACATCAGGACAAGAGCCACAATGGAACCATCCCTGATATGTGTTTAGGCACAGGAAGTTAAAATGTTATCGAAGATTGCTCACTTAAATTTAAGAAGAGAGTTTTAGGAGTCCGGTAATGATATTTCAGTGGCAAATACTAAATGTAACCAACTTGCCTTTGTCCAGAATGGACTTTGATTAAAGAGAAAATTTATGTATTTAATGTTTACTTCAAAAATGCAATTTAATCTTTTCCCAAAATATTTGATAAATTCTCTCTTCACTTCCTTAAATATAGATATATGGTTTAAGAGAATAATCAAAGAACTTTTGGGATAAAATACAGCTGACATGGTTTTGAAAGACAATAACAATTTATGGAACATTGGTAATTCCTGTTTGGTAAACGTTTTTTTGTTGTTGTTGTTTGTTTATTTGTTTTTTAGTCCTCATCGGAGTATATTTTTCCATTCATTTTTAAATATATTTTATTGATTTTGTACAGAGAGGAAGGGAGAGATAGAGACATCAATGAGATAGAATCATCGATCAGCTGCCTCTTGCACACCCCCCACTGGGGATATGCCCGCAACCAAGGCACATGCCCTTGACCGGAATCGAACCTGGGACCCTTCAGTCCCCAAGCCGACGCTCTATCCATTGAGCCAAACCGGTTTCGGCTTTCCATTCATTTTTAGAGAGAGTGGAAGAGAGAGGGAGAGATAGAAATATCGATGTGAGAGAAATACATTGATTGGTTGCCTTCTGACCAGGGCCTGGGCCGGGGAGGAGCCTAAACTCTATCCACTGAGCCAAACGTTTTAAAAAAAAGAAAAAGAAAACAGACTGGGGATTGGCTGAAGACCTTGAACTAAAATAGAGAAAAAAAATACCCAATTCTGCTCCTGGCTTGTAGCTTTGGATATAAGTTACCCAGTGTCCCTGTGGGGTTAAGGAAAGAGTAATTTCCTTATGTTTTAAGAAGTTGATAGAAAACACATGTTCTTAATCTAGCTTCCACTTACTGTTCACATTGTGTCTTTTTCTAAGAGGACTGTGTCTCTTTCTAAGAGCAGAGTCAATAGCTTTCCTTGGCATCTCCGAGTGGTACAGGATACTAAAAAGATCACTCGTCATTGGGTTACAAAGTACTCTGCTCCAGTACTTCCAGGGTCTGTATATTCTCAATAAAAAACCAGCGATGTCAAGCGGGGGAAAGGTATCATGCAGAACATTTCTGGTGCTACCGACCCAGAACTAATCAACCACGGAGGGACGGATGGGTTTCTTTCCCATTTCTAAGGAACTTAAAGAAGAAGTTTGAAAAATACTATAAGCAGATGGGTCATAATCACGTGTGTCTGCAAACTCAGATCATACAGACCCGTGGTCAGCAAACTGCGGCCCTCAAGCCATATGTCCATCTTTGGCCCCTTGAGGGTGGCTCTTCCACAACATACCACGGCCTGGGCGAGTCTATGTTGAAGAAGTGGCATTAGAAGAAGGTTAAGTTTAAACAATGTGGCTCTCCAAAGAAATTTCAATCGTCGTACTGTTGATATTTGGCTCTGCTGACTAAAGAGTTTGCCGACCACAGGTATAGACAAAAGGAGAGGTTAAAAGTGTAATCAGTAACACTTGACATCTGTGTAGATGATTGCTTTAAAACTACATTCACACCCAATTATTCTCCTTACAGGGAACAAAGGGCACATCAGCATCCTCACTGGATAGATAACCATCATGTGGTTTATGGCTCAAAGACCAACATTCTCCAACCCTGGACATGCAGACAGTGAGCCTCGCAGAAGGAAGTAGAAGCAGACTTTCAGCTCCTTTTCTCTGGGGAATGTTTATTCTGCCGAATCACGTGGGGCCAGGTGATGTGGCAAAGAAGAGATAGTTATTTGTGGTTACCCCCTCAGAGTTCGTTACTTACCATGGGCCAATGAAGCAAAAAAAGGGGAGTCCAATGCTACTCTTATCCCCTGCCCACAGTAGGAACTGAAAGGGGGAGATCACACATCTCCTGTCCAAGAATGCACTGCCTCAACTTCCTGGAAAGCTCTCTGAGCCAAAGGGGCAGCAGCAAGAAAAAGAATCCGGGCGAGGAGAAACCAGAGGTCCTCTGCTCCTATTCCTGGTCACCCACAGGGACACCACCAACACCTGGTGGGCGCAGGAGTTCATCCAGCACCAGGAACAAACCCTCCCCCCTTAGCACCACCCCCACCCCCAACAAAACCACCCCACGCTTCTTCTCTGCACCTGCCTTGTCTGCAGATACTTGTTGATTAAGAAAGGAAGGGGGAAGAAGGTGGAGGGGCGTAAAATGGCAAAAACAGAAAAGAAGGCCTGAGCTGGACCTCCAGAACGCAGGGAGCTGAAAAACAGAAATAAGCCAAGGCCAATCACCAGCACAAAGGAGCCAGCCGGCCTGGCTGCCCGGGCAGGTGGGCGGGGCCAGGTCCCAGGGCCCGGCAGGCCCCGCCCCTCCACGCAGGCAGGCAGAGCGGAAGCCGCGCGTTCCTTAGCAACCGCGGCGGCCACGCCCACCGCAGCCCCGGTCCGCGCAGCTCATTCCCACCCTAAGCGGCCGGCCCCCGAGTCGCTGCCGGACCCACGGGGTGTCCACAGGCCCGGGCCCCTCCCCTCCGAGCCCCCCTCCGCCCAGCCCGCCCCGGGAGCGGGGAGACGGTCTCTCTCAGAGACGCCGAGGAGGAGGAGGCGCGCCCGCCAGCGGTCCCGGACCCCGGGCTTCCGGGCCGGGCCTCCCCGCCGCCCAGCGTCGCCCGCGCCGGACACACACACACACACACCTCCGCTCGGCCGAGGCGAGGGCCCACGGGCTTCGGCACCGCTGCGCGCGGCGCCCCGGGCCCCGTCACTGAGGCGGAGGCCGGACGAGCGGGCGGGCGGGCGGCCGGCACACTTGCCCTCCCGGAGCGCGGGGCGGAAGGGGGCGGGGCTCCGGGAAAGAGGCGGGGCTCTGGGGAGAGGGGCGGGGCCAGGCCTCACCCCGCGTTCCGATTGGCCGGCCTCTCTCCCGCCTCCGGGCCGTCCTGGAGGAAGCCAGTGCATCTTCCCTGAGGTCTGACCTTAACCTTGGACGTGAACCCTAGGTTCAGACACCGACCTGGAAAGGAGACTGTGGACGTTTAAAATAAGGGCGCCGCCCACCCCGTGTTGCTCAGTGGTTAGGCATCGGCCTATGAGCCAGGCGGTCCCGTTAGATAACTGGTCAGGACACATGCCTGGGTTGAGGGCTTCATCCATTCCCAGTGTGTGGCGTGCAGGAGGCAGCCAATCCATGATTCTCTCTCATCATTGATGTTTCTCTCTCACTCTCACTCTCCCTTCCTCTCTGAAATCAATAGAAATATAATTTATAAAATGAAATAAGGACGCCTACTTGTTTTATAAATATAAAACACGAAAGTGAGTTCCTTCAATTTATTGAATATCACCACACACTGAATCCATCCACTTTGACGACAAATACATACCTACCAATAAGTGAATCTAAAAATTAAGTGAGTAATAAATCTGATGAACAGAATGGACTGGTGAACATAATAGAATCGGGGACATAGAAAGGGAGTGGTCTGGCAATTCTCAGGGGCAAGGGGGTGTGAGGGGTGCAGGAAGAGATTGGACAAAAATTTCACACCTATAGATGAGGACAATGGAGGGGGGAAAGGGCATGGGGTAAGGTGAGGAATCAGGTGGAGGGGAGCTATAGGAGGGAAAAAAATGAACAATTGTAATAATCTGAACGATAAAGATTTATTTTTTAAAAAAATCCATCCACTGTCTCCAGGGAGCATCCTGGATGCAAGTATGCACCCTCTCAGGAAACAATGTTGTTTGCCAGTTCCAGCCATAAGGATGCGTCACCGCCAAAACCTGTTTGGCTCAGTGGATAGAGCATCAGCCTGAGGACTGAAAGGTCCCAGGTTCTATTCTGGTCAAGGGCATGTACCCTGGTTGTGGGCACATCCTCAGTATGGGGTGTGCAGGAGGCAGCTGGTCAATGTTTCTAACTCTCTATCCCTCTCCCTTTCTCTCTGTAAAAAAAATCAATAAAATATATTTAAAAGAAAAAAAAGATGCGTCACCATAGGAAAGGTGATTCCTGAAACATGACCAACAACTGAGGCTTGCAGGAAGGTCCAGGAATCCAGTTTGACATTTAAAAAATCAGTTGGGAAGCATGTGACAATGGAATAATTTATATGTTGTACTCATGTCATCCTCACAACACCCAGCGAGATATATTATTACACACAGGCTATAAATGATGAAACTAAGGTTCAGAAAAGTTACTTATATTCAATAATTTAACTAATGAAAAAGTGCCTGCAGACATTATTTTTATACTTGTGGTACATTGAATTTAAATTTATTTCAAAAACTTATACAACTTCCAGTTTAATTTTTCTCTTGCTCAAATGTCACTTTCCTTTAGGCCAGTCCAGTATAGCTTTATATATATATATATATATATATATATATATATATATATATATATATATATATATATATATATAATTGCTTTTTTACAGAGAGGAAAGGAGAGGGATAGAGTTAGAAATATCAATGAGAGAAAAACATTAATCAGCTGCCTCCTACACCCCCCCCACAGGGGATGTGCCTAAAACCAAGGTACATGTCCTTGACTGGAATCGAACCTGGGTCCTTTCAGTTCACAAGCCAACGCTCTGTCCACTGAGCCAAACCAGTCAGGGCAGTCCAATATAGATTTTTAAAAAATGCCTTAAGGAAATACTATACGAAAGAACAGATAGACGAACTAGAAGGTTCTCTGAAATAAAGGCCAGGAATTGAATCCAAGTAAGAGGTTTATCTTCTCTTCTCCTAAATCATTTGCTGGTCTCCAGTTCCTCTCACAGAAACAAAGGTACAGTTAAATGAGGTTATCTTCATGATCACCAGATTGTTGGGTGTGGAGTTAAAATAGTAAAACCCTTTTCCAACTATATTAAACCAATACCCAGAAGTGCTTACCTTGTTAGATACAGTGGTAGTAAGAAAGAAAGAAAGAAAAACAAAAATACCTTTGGAAAATTGCTTTGAGATTTAAATATTAACTATATTATAAAATTATTGGCGTAAAAGAAACACTCTAAATTCTTCTGAAAGCTTGCTAACTATGAATACTTCTGAAATTTTTTTATTGATATGATTTGTAACCCCATTGTTTCTTTAAAAAATATATTTGGCTTTAGGCTAAAAGTAAAGAGCTATGATATATATTAAGTAGTACATTATATAAATACTGTAAGATTAAATAAAAGTGGTGAATTATTTATTTGAATTATTTTCAATTGCATATTAAATAAGGACAGCAAATACATTTGTTTGAATATTCTCACATATATGAGATTATACATTTAAATAAATGTATTATAGTCATGTAAATGCGTAATCATTGAAATAAACACAGCTGTACATCCCCATATGTATAGCTCCAGATGTTTGAAGCATACATTCAGAATTCTGGAACTCGACACCTTGGTATCTGGCTAATCATCCAGTAGAAAATACTGTGCTGAATATGCACAGGAATACATCCTAAAACTCCATCAAGAGTGGAAAAAAAAAAAAAAGCTGAAAACAGTGAATAATGGATTTCTGCCACTGAACAGATCCTTATAAAATAGCTTGTCCTAGCAAGTTGTTCTGAAAACAGTTTACTGATCTGTAAAATGGACACCAGCCAGCTAGTCATAGGAATAGGAGAATTGCAAAGTAGTTTTCCTGCATCTTTCTAAAAATACACTTCAAAAAATAATGTTTAACATAGGTTAAAAACAGAAGAATATTGGTATAACAATATCTGTCAGAATGTGGCAGAATATGGTAAGATTGAAACAATGCTGGAATCACTGAAGAACCCACATATTATGCTTTTTACATTGCTTATTAAAACAACAAAATGAAATATATTTCATAAAGATTTTCTCAATCCAGGATTCCTGAATTATTCATGTGGTTGAAAGTCTAAAGAGTAGGTACACAGACTGGCTTCCCGTGAACAGGTGATGCGTAACCATCAACTGTGAGAGAGCGCCAGAAGGAGGTTCTCCAATCCATGTTCAGTTCACAGTCTCAATGCAATCCCAGGCTTGGGCATAAGAATGATCTTAGTTCATCTGTGTGTCTTTCTTCGCAGAACTTCTGGGCCCGGGAAGATCCTGAATTGTTGTAGCCCTAACCCCACCTGTAAGGTTTCACTTATTTCCTCCTCCAGAAGTTTTGAACATGCGCTTGAACAGGTACATAGTGTTCCCGCTCTGTTGAGCTACTACTTGTCCTGTTTCCTGGATTTTAGAAAATGTTTAGTTGGTAGGATATTGGGAATGTGGGTGTCCTGAACTTGAGTCCAGGACGTCATTTTCCAAGAATCTCCCTGAAGGAGCTTCTAACAATATAAATCAGATTATATCATTTCCCTGATTAAAATGGTTCAGCGATTCTCCATTGCACTTGGAACTAAATGTGAAGTTCTTCCCATAGTCTGCAGAGTTTGCCTGATCCAGGTGCTGTCTGCTTCTCCAGCCTTCGCATGAACCATGCCTGTACTTTGTCTTTCTGTTCTATTTTTCTACCAGAGGCCCAGTGCATGAAATTCATGCACAGGTGTGGTCCCAAGGCTTGGCTGGTGATTAAAGTGTGAGTGTCTGTTGTGGAAGGGCAGGTCCCAGCTGACCTCTGGGCCCTGGGAGCACATGGGCCCTAGGCCCCTACCTGCCCCCCATTCGCCTGAGTCATCGGCCCCCACCCATCTCCCTCAGTGCCTGGGAGCTGGGGGGCAGGGCCCCATACCACCACTGGTCACAGAGTGATTAGTGAGGAGATTGGGCCCCACTTGGCCTGGTGCTACCTGCTCATTTGGTCCACCATCCTGCCATGGTCCCACTCTTATAAGGGCCCAACGCCGCAGCCAGCAGCACCTCCAACTGCCACCTGCTGCCAGTGCCACATCACCAACACCTGCCAGGTCCCGCAATGCCCCCTGGTGGTCAGTGCATGTCATAGTGGAGTGGTTGAGCTCCTGGGCGAGGGGACACTTTGCAGATTAGGCTTTTATTATATAGGATTCTTCCAAAATTCGTTAAAATTCCTGGTCCATTAATTATACCCTATATTATTTCCTTACTAGGGGCCCAGTGCATGAATTTGTCCACCTTGAAAGGAACTGTGGGCCACGAGACTGTGGTGGGTATAGAGGTGGGTCTTGGCCCATCCTCCACACTACTGCCTGGCCCCTCCCTCCATGGCCACAGGGCCCAGTCTGCCAGCAGCCTCACTCCCGCTACTGCTGCTCCCATGTGCTGATGGCACCGGCCCCACTCTCACCCCCTGATGGTGTGAAGTGATTGGGGCCAGCTCCAGCAGCAGGTGTGAATGGGACCATCACTGGCAGTGGGTACAAGAGGCAGTTGCCAGCCCCGATTGGCCCTCAGGAGCAGGAGGAAGTGGAGAAGGTTGTTTGGTTGTTCTACCCTTCAGTCTATTTGCATATTAGCCTTTTATTATATAGGATAGCCAAGATATGGAAGCAACCTATGTGCCCATCAATAGATAGATGGTTAAAGAAGAAGTGGTGCATATATATACAATGGAATATGACTCAGCCATCAAAAAGATGAAATCTTGCCATGTACAACAACATAGATGGACCTAGAGGGTATTGTACTTAGTGAAATAAGGAGAGAAAGACAAGTACTTAGTTCACTTATTTATGAAATCTATAAACTAAAATAAATAAAACAGAAACAACCATAGACACAGAGAACATTTTGATGTTTACTACATGAGAGGGGGAGTTGAGGGGCTGGGTAAAAAAAGTGGAATGGATTAAGAAGTACAAATTGGCAGTTACAAAATGGTCATGGAGATGTAAAATATAACATATAGAATATATAGCCAATA